CACTTCCAATTCAGTTGTAAAATCATGCCTCTTAGGACATTGGAGGGTTGATCAATACAGGCACTATGCTGAGAAGTTAGACCTAAGCAGCAACAAAACATAGGTGAAAAAATTTTGCCATTCTCCCACTGTAGTAAAAGAAAAGGCAGTTGGCTGTCTCGGGAAGGGCCTGGTAGGGTGGCTGCACTTTGTGAGGTCAGGACATTCCAAGGTCTAGTCCTCAGATTTCAAAGGTTTGGAAAAGTGATTTTAGCAGTTCAACCAAGGGTGAGCAAACTCTACAAGATTGATTCACTCTAACCAAACTCACAAGAGACTGATTCATAAATAGAATGCCAATTTATTAATTTACAATGAGAAATATAACTGCCAAGCAGACTGGAATACTTGAGTCGGCTGGTCAGCGCATTCTCTTCCCCGTAGGAAAGCCTAGTTGGGAAACCAAATTAGTATCAGAAGGTGGATTGGTGAGTACAGAGTCAGAATAAAGGGAGTAAGATGAACTAAAGGATCTTGTTTTCAAGCTATTGTAGCATGATGCATCTTTCTTTATTAATGGGATATACTCATCAAGCAAACTAAAATACTGGATAACAGAAAGAGCACTCTCCCCTGGATGATGCTGGAGAAACGTTGTTAAATTCTCGTTTTCCAACAATCCATTTGGTTGATTACTTACAGAGCATCTTTCTAATATGTGTTTAGGACAAGATTAGCCATTTTTATATATCTTAGTTACATTTTAGGGTGGCTATTTCTTGATTATTTATAGGGGCATGTCTTAAGATCAAACCCTTCCTTTCTTTTTTTAAAGAGATTTTTGCTATAGGGCATGTGCGCTCATTGAGAGAGACAGAAGCAGAAAGCAAGAAATCACCCCCCAAGGGAGATGGCCACACTGCAGTCCCTTCTCCTCCGTTCTCCTCTCGGGATTCTGGGCATGCAAGTGCATGCACCCAGTGTGTTTCAGGTCTGGGACTCAAACCACAGTCAGCTATGTGGGAGTCCAGTGATGTGAACATTATGCCATCTGCTGTTCCCAGATCAAGTCCTTTCACTGTATCCCAATTTTTAGATAGAAAACAGAATTTAGAGTTGACAGCCACTTTAAACATGTATCTACTTAGGAGGGGAAACAGGCCCTAAACAGTGAAACTGACTTGCCCAAGGTCATATGATGAGTTGTAGCAGAACTAAGGTAAAACCTGAACCCACTTCTCCCAAGTCAGTGCTCTTTCTTCAACACAAACCTTGTTTTTTGGCCTATTTACTGATCATGATACCACCCATAACCACCACCAACCACCCTCCCCCAAACCTCTCCATGGTGTAGGCAGAGCCTACACCACAGACAACAAACCCACAAACATCCCCCCTCTTCATACAGATGGTCTCCACGTACCCCCTCTTGGGACTCGGACGCACTCACGTTTCCGAGCCTGTGCCTCAAACTGTGACAGGTTCTGCCGGGTGGCCGGCCTCACATCCACTTTTTCTCCATTAAGAACTTTTCCTGGCAGGAGTTCCAATAATTTATGGACAGAGTTTTCAGAGGCTACCACCACCTCAGCATAGCTTGAGGGAGAAAAGTTAAAGGTGAGTGAAACCTATTAGACAACTGAAAGAAGAAAAGAAACTCTTCCACTTTTACTGAAAATTAGTAAAACAAAGGCTATCTTGCTAAATTACATACACACACACACACACACACACACACACACACACAACCAACAATAAGTTATCTGCCCATATCCCATTTTTTTAAAATTAAAATTCAGCATTTTTCACCCCTCAACAGCTAACCATTATAAGGCAAGTTGCCAAAACCAAAGCAGTAAACTGGGCCAGGGTAGAGGTTTAAAATCCAGGGCCAAATTATACAGTGTAGATATGTTAAAAATACAGTGTAGAAGATATGCTGTCCCAATGGTTACAAACTAAAAGGGGCTTCTCAAATCAGACCTCACCCTTTGGACTGGCCATTTGCTCGATTCTCTGCAAATTTCAACTCCACCACATCATAGACTCCTATAGAGCGAATAACCTGGATCAGCTGCTGGTCTGTGGTCCACTGGGGCCGGCAAGATGGAAAAGGAAGAAATGTCAAAAACTAACCCCGCCCTCCCCAAAATATCCCAAACCCAGGACTCTAATCATAATCGTAACTAACCACAGGAAACCCAAAAGCCTAGCAATATTTCAATTAGTGCAGGTTTTCTTATTGTCCTCACCATACAGAATTTCAAGCCCACCCACCATCTCCTCCCGATACCCATCTTTAGAGATTAAAAGATTAAAACTTATTTTGACTGCTATTTGGGCTGGCTGGCCTTCAGTTCAAACACTGATTGCTAGCAACTTTTAAGTACAGATTTGACAAAGCAACAGTTAGCCATTGCCAGGAATTTCCCCCTCAGTATATTCATCTCCTAATTTGGAAAAACCACCCCTCACCACCAGCCCAAAATCATGTCACACAATAACTTTTGCGGAACAACAGTCACCACCTACCCTGGTGAGCTAGAGCTATCAAGGTCTTTGATCCCCATCACCCACCATTATCACAGGACCATCTAATGACCACCAAGAGTTCAAGGTGTGCACTCTGAAATCTCGTCCCACAGATGACCCTGCTAGACATAAAGCCCCAGGGTCAGGGGCAGCAACAAGATGGCAGAAAAAGCAACTACCCACTTAATCATTGCTTTCTTCGGCATCAGTACGTCCTCAGGACAGTTCTCTTTCAGAGATCAATCCAACCTGATCCCAGGAAAAAGAAATCCAACCCCATCAGAGCACAATACAGTGCAACAGCAGTTCCTGAAAATGCCATCACCTCCCAGTGCTCTCCCACCAGCCCCCCCGGAAGCCTTTCTGGTTGCCACACTCACCCAGGAGAAGCTGCCCACATAGACGGCAGCTCGTCTATTACGCAGGCCACTGTAGGTATACAGAATTGCAGGGGTCTTGTTGTTGGGTTTGGGAGATGGCTCCTGGCGAACAGGAGGAGGTGGCTCAGTGCTACTGCTTCTGTCATCCGAGGGCTGTGATGTGGCCGTCAGCACATCATCATATAGGTCAATTTGATCTGTATTGTTGAACTCTGGGTCCTAAGAGAAGAGGGGTTGGCAAAGAAGGGTTTGCCATCGGTCTGTTCATTCTCTCTCACTCTAGTTTACGTAGGATAGAGTCAAATACCTATAAAACAGCACTAATCTTCCTTGCTCTAGGACACACAGTAAAAAAAAACTTTCTCATTTGAAACTCTATCATTTAATTATGCTTATGTGGGTTTTTCTCCCAAGACCATATTAGTGATCTGTAATGTTTCTGGCTTTAGCCACCTGTGAGGATCAAAAGGCACATGGTGATTAAGCAAGCAAACCAAGGCAAAATGAAATGTTCATGCGACTTTTATCAATGAGGTGAGCTTCTAACGATTGCATCTAAAATATATTAAGAAAATTTATTTCCAACATCTTACGCGATTTCCAAAATCAAGTGTTCCATAAATCTCGCTGTTCTATTTAGTGAGAAATAAATTAATTTAGAAATAGCAAGTGTATGGGGAGGTAAGTACGTTAAAGTGAGTACCAAAATGCAAAAAAAGACAGGGAGTTACTGATTTAAACCCTTTGATTTATACAAATAGTATAAACTTCATAATACACAATACCACTGAATAACCATCGAAGAAATATACGTAGTTGAAAGGAAGAGAAAAACTTTTTTTTTCTCTCCTACTAAATTCTATCCTCTAATGACACATAGACTCGATACATTATGATACTTGTGTAGGAAAAATCTTTGAGCAAATCCACAGATACATGAAAACAGTTTAGGTTCCAGAAAATAAGACAAGCACCTGTGTCCTAAGTTGTGTCACAGTGTTTACAGTAGGAATGTATACCTGGAAGCTGTGATAAACTTATGTTTTACCTATGTGACCTATTACTGTATACCAAAAGCCCTAGAGTCACAAAGTCTACCACAAGGGACTTTCTGTTTCAGATTTTGCATTGTAATTTTCTCAGAGAAATCTTCTTTAAAGAATTATTTTATTTATTATTACTTATTTACTATTATTTTTAAATTTGACCAGAGACAGAGAGCAAGAAAGAGGGAAAGTGAGAAACCAAGTTGCCAGGTCTAGGACTCAAACTGTAGTTGGTCATGTAGGAGTCCAGCACCCTAACCACTATACCACTTGCCAGTCCCAAGATAAAACTTTTTATTTTGGGAACCAGCAGTTAGCGTAATGGCTATCTTGCTGGACTCCCATGTAGTCGACTGCGGTTAAAACTTACACTGGGCGCGTGTGCGTGCGTGCCCAAGATCCCGAGAGGAGAATGGAGGAGAAGGGTTTGCAGCGTGGCCAATCCCCCCTGGGGGATGATTTCTCGCTTCCTGTCTCTCTGTCTGTCTCTGTCTGGTGAGCACATGCGCCCTATGGCAAAAACCTCTCAAACAAAACAAAACAAAACAAAACTTTTTATTTTAAGGATCAAAGAAGTACCCTATTTTTATTAAAAGGATCAGACAAAAACATTCAGACAGTACTAAGGATGATACTACTAAAATTATACAGACTGCGAGAAGTTCAGTGTTTTAGCAAACTAAGCCCACTGATATCATTGTTTAATTATTTATTTATTTTTGCTGTAGGGCATAGCACTTGCTGGAGAGAAACAGAGAAACAGTGAGAAAGCACCCTCTAGGGAGGATGGTTCCACACAATCCTTTCTCTTCCACTCTCCCTTGGGAATCTGGGCAGGCAATTGCATGAAGGCTTGCATGCATACCACTGGCATGTTTTTCAAGCCACCTTGGTCTGGACCTTGAACTGCATGGACAGTCATGTGAGATCCAGCTGCCTTAAGCACCATGCCACTGGCTGGCCCGTCACTGCTATCCTTTTAAGAGGGGATAAGGTAGGCAGCTACAGTGGGTAACTGGTATGGTTCTCTAAAGAAACAGAATTGGCTGCCTAATGCAACTCAGGACAGTTCTGGTTAACTTGCTTCCTCTAAACGAACTGCTGAGCCTTAAATAAGACAGAAGAGACTCACTACAAACTTTACTCACAGACCTTTTATAATCCTCATACTATCTATCATAAGCCTTTAGAAACATTCTTTTTTTCAGTTTATGTGAAGTACAAAGAGAATACACAGAGATATTATTACATTGTTCTGATAGTGAAGGGGATAAGATTCTACTTTCTGAACTTGTAAATAATTTTTTAAAGAATTTTTTCAAGAGATAGTGAATGAGTGCACCTTCCACAGGGTCTCCTCACACTACAATTCCCTTTCCCCAGCCCTCCAGCTTCTCAGGATCATGGGTGGCCATGCAAGTTTTCAGGCTGACCTAGGGATCTGAACCCATGGTCAGCCATTGGCTTCTAACACTGCAGTCTAATTCACTACAGACTATACCACGTAGGGTGGGCAAGTAAGTAATTTTAGATACTAGAAATAATCTAAGAAACTCCACAGGAGTAAGGCTTCAACATTGTAAAAATATTAAAAAGAGAGTAGCAAGAAAGTAACTCTTCAGGGGTAACTTAGAAACAAACACACAAAAAAGAGTGAGTGAGGCAAATAAGAACAGGAAGACTGTTCTAGGTAGTCCAAGGTAAGGACCCAACATAAAAAAGGGTACGTCCACAGGAAGAACAACACTAGATAGTACAAAGTGAGTAACAGAGTAAGGTGAGGTCAGCTATGGCTAATAACTTGACAAACATTTTGTATGTAAGTATTCCCCATAAATTAGTTCAAAGCCCTACGTGTCAAACTCTGGACAAATCACTTATCTACTTACATACCAGATAAAGTTACTATCCTTTACAGCTAAACATAGAGAAAAGAAGTCTAAGTCACTTGACCCTATCCAATGCTCTAATCTTTAGGGAACACGACTCCATACTGGGATTCATTATTTTCCCTTAAAAAATTTATTTTTAAAGTTTAGATCATAGACACAGATGTGCTTGGTGGACCCAGGGAGGTTTATGGACACAAACCTGGAACCCTCCTTTATGGGCCAGCCTTGCAGAGCATCATGTCTTACTGCTGCACCACTGTCAGGCTCCCTTAAATAAAGGACTTTCAAAGGGACAAAGGAAACACACCACCTTAGTCAATGGAACCAGACTAGGTTTCCTTGTATGCAGTATGTGTCTCAGAGGTATGTGTTTAAAAGGTACAAGACAAAAATTATCACTGAAAACTGGGTAGTGAACTAACATTCAGATTTTGCATTGTAATTTTCTCAGAGAAATCTTCTTTAAAGAATTATTTTATTTATTATTACTTATTTACTATTATTTTTAAATTTGACCAGAGACAGAGAGCAAGAAAGAGGGAAAGTGAGAAACCAAGTTGCCAGGTCTAGGACTCAAACTGTAGTTGGTCATGTAGGAGTCCAGCACCCTAACCACTATACCACTTGCCAGTCCCAAGATAAAACTTTTTATTTTGGGAACCAGCAGTTAGCGTAATGGCTATCTTGCTGGACTCCCATGTAGTCGACTGCGGTTAAAACTTACACTGGGCGCGTGTGCGTGCGTGCCCAAGATCCCGAGAGGAGAATGGAGGAGAAGGGTTTGCAGCGTGGCCAATCCCCCCTGGGGGATGATTTCTCGCTTCCTGTCTCTCTGTCTGTCTCTGTCTGGTGAGCACATGCGCCCTATGGCAAAAACCTCTCAAACAAAACAAAACAAAACAAAACTTTTTATTTTAAGGATCAAAGAAGTACCCTATTTTTATTAAAAGGATCAGACAAAAACATTCAGACAGTACTAAGGATGATACTACTAAAATTATACAGACTGCGAGAAGTTCAGTGTTTTAGCAAACTAAGCCCACTGATATCATTGTTTAATTATTTATTTATTTTTGCTGTAGGGCATAGCACTTGCTGGAGAGAAACAGAGAAACAGTGAGAAAGCACCCTCTAGGGAGGATGGTTCCACACAATCCTTTCTCTTCCACTCTCCCTTGGGAATCTGGGCAGGCAATTGCATGAAGGCTTGCATGCATACCACTGGCATGTTTTTCAAGCCACATTGGTCTGGACCTTGAACTGCATGGACAGTCATGTGAGATCCAGCTGCCTTAAGCACCATGCCACTGGCTGGCCCGTCACTGCTATCCTTTTAAGAGGGGATAAGGTAGGCAGCTACAGTGGGTAACTGGTATGGTTCTCTAAAGAAACAGAATTGGCTGCCTAATGCAACTCAGGACAGTTCTGGTTAACTTGCTTCCTCTAAACGAACTGCTGAGCCTTAAATAAGACAGAAGAGACTCACTACAAACTTTACTCACAGACCTTTTATAATCCTCATACTATCTATCATAAGCCTTTAGAAACATTCTTTTTTTCAGTTTATGTGAAGTACAAAGAGAATACACAGAGATATTATTACATTGTTCTGATAGTGAAGGGGATAAGATTCTACTTTCTGAACTTGTAAATAATTTTTTAAAGAATTTTTTCAAGAGATAGTGAATGAGTGCACCTTCCACAGGGTCTCCTCACACTACAATTCCCTTTCCCCAGCCCTCCAGCTTCTCAGGATCATGGGTGGCCATGCAAGTTTTCAGGCTGACCTAGGGATCTGAACCCATGGTCAGCCATTGGCTTCTAACACTGCAGTCTAATTCACTACAGACTATACCACGTAGGGTGGGCAAGTAAGTAATTTTAGATACTAGAAATAATCTAAGAAACTCCACAGGAGTAAGGCTTCAACATTGTAAAAATATTAAAAAGAGAGTAGCAAGAAAGTAACTCTTCAGGGGTAACTTAGAAACAAACACACAAAAAAGAGTGAGTGAGGCAAATAAGAACAGGAAGACTGTTCTAGGTAGTCCAAGGTAAGGACCCAACATAAAAAAGGGTACGTCCACAGGAAGAACAACACTAGATAGTACAAAGTGAGTAACAGAGTAAGGTGAGGTCAGCTATGGCTAATAACTTGACAAACATTTTGTATGTAAGTATTCCCCATAAATTAGTTCAAAGCCCTACGTGTCAAACTCTGGACAAATCACTTATCTACTTACATACCAGATAAAGTTACTATCCTTTACAGCTAAACATA